AATATTTCTATTCAGGATATCTCCACAACGAATAAAATTCTCTGAATAAGTGTTGAACAAAAAATCTTCAAAATCACAAGTCCTTTTCTTTGATACCAAGAAAATGGGGCTGACTCCTCAAATTAGGGGCTCAGAGGGGCCAAAAGACTTTTATCTCTAACTCTCTAATGATCAATATTTTGTTATATATTACTGAAGCAAAAGTATTTATCTTAATGATTTGCAACAATATATGATAAAATTTTGATCATATATTACGTAATTAGGGGTCACAAGGGGGCCAGAATGTCAAATCTTTGATTTTTATATCTCAAAAAAGGAAAAATATTTTAATCAGCAATATTGAACAAAAGATAGTCAGAATAATGTTATAAACAAAATGCATACTTTGAATTTTTGTAAAACGGCCCCGTTAAGGACTTGTAGGGGTAGCCTCTAAATATTTCCATTTAGCATATCTCCACAATGAATAGAAATCTCTGAATAAATACTGAGCAAAATGTCTTTAAAATCACAAGACCTTTCATTTGATACCAAGAAAAAGGGGCTGACCCCTCAAATTAGGGGCTCAGAGGGGCCAAAAGTCTTTTATCTATAACTCTCTAATGATCAATATTTTATTACATATTACTGAAGCAAAAGTATTAATCTTAATGATTTGCAACAATATATTATAAAATTTTGGTCATATCTTACGTAATAAGGGTTGCAAGGGGCCAAAATGCTATATTTTTTATGCTTTACGTCTCGAAAAGGGGGAGCATTTTTATAAGCAATATTGAACAAAAGATGTTCAGAATATCGTGATAAAAATAAGAAACTTCAGATTTAATGAAGAAAAACTTTATGTCATTCTCTTTTAACTAATATCTCAGTCAAAATCACATCTCATCTTATCGAGAAATTCAACGGAAGACCTACTCGTTGCTTGCAACGAGATCTCATCTAGTTATTATTATTTTTCTTCTTGGGAAAATTTTGTCCACGAATGATCTTGTAAACTACACATCCGACTAAGGTGAAATGTTTTTAGGGTCAGTAGACATATGATGTAGATGTGCGGAACGAAGGTCATTTTGCGCGCACGTGCTTGCAAGAGCGCGCACGTGCAACACGAGAAATGATCAATATAATTGATATAGACGTAACTTTTTTCAATTTTTGATGAAATGCTTTGAAACTCATAATATAAGGATATATTAGTAGCATAGACAATATGACATGGGAAAAATAGCAAGATCTCACGCGCATGCACGTGGGCTTTGCTCTGATTGGCTGAAACTAAAGTCTCAATATCTTTCTTGTTTTTTGACAAAATCCTTTGAAATTTTGAACATAGCCATGCATTAGGATATCCTACAACATGATATATAGCAATTATCATGAAAACACGTGCATGCACGTGCGCTGCAATCTGATTAGCTTAAACTTTAAATAGCTATAACTCCCTTGGTTTTCAACCAAACAGGATGGGAATTGGAACATAGATAGATATAAAGGACTACTACAAGAAAGTATGGTCACCATGCACATGCATACACGTGTGTGTACATGTGCTGCAATCTGATTGGCTGAAACTTTAAACAGCTATAACTCCCTTGGTTTTCAACCAAACAGGATGGGATTTAGAACATAGATAGATGTAATGGATATCTACAAGTAAGTATGGTCACCATGCTCATGTATGCACGTGCGTGCACGTGAAATGAGCAAAATCAAATATACACTTGAATGAACTAATTTTTTAAATACTTTTGGATTAAATACTTTAATATTTAGTATATCGAAATATATAGATTGTGTAGACAAGATGATATGGTCATTACGCACATGCATTCACATGCGCACGCGTGCACTGCTAAAATTTGAATAAACTTGGTACACTTCTGGGTAAACGTTGTTAAGTTCCAAATGCATAGAGTTTGTCTTATTTAATGAAACTTACAGGGAATATGGCACCAAAAGGGAGTTGGGGAGCGTTTGGGGAACATCTGTAACGGTCCCCGTTACAATTAGCACTAGTTCCATTTGATATTATAATTACCGGGTAGACGCGAATAAACATGCTGGCTGTTTCAATTCTAGAATGCTAGAATTGAGTTAACTTCATCCACCACATTATTAAAGCTATCATAATCTTTTCTCATAAAATTAGTAATTTTACTTTTTATAGTGTCACTTTGAATGTTAGACTCGACATAGTGGCTTGATCTGTCCAAATGAATTTGCCCGGTAAAGGGGAAGTTTTGATGATGGACTGCTACATTCTAAGTTACATTTAAAAATTAAACCACATACAATAGGACAATGATTTGACAAATCAGTGAAAACCTCTACTTGAAAAAAATCCTATAGATTGTAAAAGTTCATTTTATACAATGGTTTAATCTACAAGGCTACACCCATTATAAGTAAAACATGTTGGTCTACCAAATAAATCACATGTAGTTCGACCATTCAGAATTCTTAAACCTGCTTCTTTACTAATATTTAAAAGATTTTTACCACTATTTTTTTGTTCTTTTGCTATCTAGATTATTTCTAGGCAAATATACATCATGTTTATAAAAACATCATCATTATTTGAATGATTCAATTCATCATGTAAAACAAAATCAGGCATACCGGTAGTTTTAGTGTATGCATTAAATTCACCTTGGATTATTATATCCAAAACTTTGCTAAGTTTAACTATGTCCTATAGTAGGGCTGTATAAATTGTTTCAATATGATCTACTGTACAAGATGTACTTTCATGGGATAGGTAAATAATAGCTAAATAATTATCTCTTTGCAAGCTAAAAGAAACTGTTTGTCAAGCTTAATCCAACACACATCTGAGTTATTGGATTTTAAATTTGAAATACCTTTGGAGATGGAGTTTTTGGCATAAATGCTTACCCCTCCAAAATTTCTACGGGCTTTTTTTGTTTTTATGCCCCCGTAACCGAAGTTTCGGGGTATATAGTTTTTGTCGTATCCGTCTGTCTCTCTGTCTCTCTGTTTGTCTCTTTGTCCGCAAAAACTTTAGCCTTGCCCATAACTTATAATTTCGTGGAGCTATGACTTTCATATCTCACATTTGTATTCCTTGTGACAAGACCTTTCTTTGGGTACCACCAAATTTGACCTTTTGACCTTGACCTTGGAGTTTGACCCACTTTTACATGAAAATTTTAAAATTTTTCTTTGGCCATATCCTATGAACAGTAAAGACCAGGACATTTATACTTCACATATGTAATGTTTGTTAAAATACCTTTCATTGGATACCAACAACCTTGACCCTTTGACCTTGTAGATTTCCGTACTTGTGATTTTTTTTTACCTTGGCCATAAATTTTAAACAGTAAGGGATAGGGATTTCATACTTTATATATCAAATCCTTGTGAGAAGACAATTCATTGAATACCAAGAACTTTGACCCTTTGACGTTAACCTTTGAGACAGACCAACTTTAAAAAAGCAAACCTTGACCATAACTCTTAAAGAATTAGAGTAGTGCTTTCATACTTTACATATTTGATTCTTATGACAAGACCTTTCATTTGATAACAATAACTTTGACCTTGACCTTGGAGTTTGACCTACTTTTTCAGGAATTGAACGTTGACTATAACTTCTGAACGGTTAGGGCTTGGGCTTTTATGCTCTACACAAGTATTTTATGTGGCAAGACCTTTCATTTGATACTAATTACCTTGACCTTTTGACCTTGACCTTGGAGATTTTTGTACTTATTAAAAAACTTTAACATTACCTTACTTTCAATTTCACAATTGTTTTTTAGTGAAAATACCCTATTTTTGGTACCAATCAATTAAATTTGCATTTAAGAAAAGCTTAGTCTTTTCTATGTTGCCATACGGGGGCATCAGTGTTTTACAAACACATCTTGTTTTTTTCTTATTTTAGCAACAATTAAGTTTAATCCTGACAAGTAATTTTACTTATTGTCATTTTCTAACCAGATTTCTACTATACCAAGGATATGGAAATTTGAAACTATCTGTAAAAGGTTACTATCATATTGTTTGAAAGTTGAAAATCCTACGATATTCCACATTGCTTACTGGAGGAGTGAAGAATTGTGAATTTTTTTATATTTTGAAACTGGACATATTTTCACAAAAATAAAAATGGGTTGTTTTGAATGTTAGGAAGATATGACTAATTGACATGAAAAGAAACAAGCTAATTCAGAGAATTCGTGTTCCCCGCTTAGGGAAAAAGTCGGAACCCCCTGACTGAATTAGTAGAATTATTAAATGTATACATGTATACTGATGCAAATAAAATACATGTATGTCAATATGCATATAAAGATTTGATTGCTTATTCTCTATTATGTGTATAGAAGATTCTTTTTATATGGAATATTTATTACACTGTAATAATGATTTTATAACCTCATAAATTTTTCTTTTCACATGGTGAATACTATCATTTAAAAAAAAAGAAAATTTAAAACAAAGGATCTCCAGAGATTCGATCCCGGGACCTCTCACTTATGAAGCGGGAGACATATCACTAGACCACGGAGGCGCTTTAAATGTCGTCGCGTAAATGCAGAAGTGAAGTCACATACATGTATATATTTATGCTCGATATTGTCAAAATTTGACACAATCCATGGTGTTTGATTTATTTAGCCTTTATTAAACAGTTCTAATAGATGTTATAAGAACATAAATGTAACAGTATTCTGTATTAATTAATGACTACTCCCTAATTATCACTATCATTGTACAATAACACCTCCCCTTGTCACGTGGTTAATAAAGTGGAAGCCATGCCAGAAAGCCATGCTTGTTTTTACTTCAACTTGTAGCATCTTCTATTGATACAGTACTTCGTGAAACATGGTGTCAGAAGTATTTAATGAATCCTTGTGGTGAGTCAAACGTCTTGATCGCCTGTCATTTGTTTATATTGCTCCAAATATTAAAGAATCTACCCGATTTCTTTTTGGACTGCATTTCCTCTGTCGTGCAAAACCATGCCTGTAGAGAATGAGCAAGTTGAAGCGGCGCCAGCTGCAGTACATCTTTTTTCTATGAACATTCCATTTCCAAAACCCTTAGATTTGAAAGGTGACCTCGCCTTAAACTGGAAACATTTCAAACGAGTGTGGGAAAATTATGAGATCGCTACCGGGTTAAGGGAAAGAGATTCCCAACTTCGGTGTGCAACATTCCTCACTTGTTTAGGATCAGATGGGTTACATGTTGTGGATGGACTAAAATTTGATTCAGATGAAGACAAAAAGAATATTGATAAGGTTATTACTGCACTTGACACTTACTGTGTAGGTCAAACCAACGTCATATATGAGCGTTATACATTTAATTGTAGAAATCAGGAACAGTCAGAACTTATAGATGCATATGTTGCAGAATTGCGTACACTAGTGAAAACATGTAAATTCGGAGACATGGAGGATGAGATGATAAGGGATCGCATTGTTATCGGAGTTCGAGATAACCATACCCGTAAAAAGTTGTTACAGGAGAAGAATCTAGACCTTCAGCGTTGCATAGATATATGCCGTTCGAATGAGAAATCTGAATCTCAGCTCAAGTCTATTGCAGATGTTCACCATGTCAAGGTCAAGCAGAAAATGAAACCAGATAATCGTGGTAAGACTGAGAAACGTAGAGACACACAATCCATACCAACTATTCAGTCATGTCGATACTGTGGGAGAACACATCCGCGCAGTCGAGAGAAATGCCCAGCGTTTGGACAGACTTGCAACTCGTGTGGTGAGCAGAACCATTTCGAAAGGAAGTGTCCTAACAAAGAGCCTCCTAGAGCAAAACACCGTGAAAAACGTCGTGGTACATGGAATCGCAGAAAGTCACAAGTTCATGATATAAAGACCCATGAAAGCGACTCATCTGATGAACTCGTTCTCGTAATTGAACAAGTGCACTCACTTTCATCGAAACGTCATACAGCTGTAATGAATATCCAGGACAAATATGTGGAGTTCCAATTGGACAATGGATCTACAGCTAATATCTTACCTGCTCATGTGTACGTGCGTCTCACAACTGACAAGGAATTTCAGAATCTGAAGAAAACTGATGTTACCCTACAGATGTACAACAAAACTGAAACTAAAGCCTTGGGCACCATCAGGATGTCTGTTCGAAATCCGTGCAATCGAAAAAAGTACAATCTAGAATTCGTCATTGTGCCAGGCAAAGAACTACATTGTATTTTGGGTAAACGAGCTATTGAAGGAATGGAACTTATTACTGTGCATACGGACAAATTCCTCACAAAGACACAAGTTCAGAATGACGTCATTTCGCAGATTGACATTAAAGAAGAAATTAATGAGAAGTATGCAAATGTGTTCAAGGATCTAGGAAAACTGGACGGTAAGCTACATTTGGAGGTCAAGGACAGTGTGCGACCTGTACAGTTACCGCCTCGGAAAATACCATTAGCCTTGAAACCAAAAGTGAAAGAAGAGCTAAACAGACTGGAGAAATTAGGTGTCATTAAACCAGTAAACACACCGACTGACTGGGTATCTGCCTTAGTGGTGGCTCCTAAACGCAATGGTGACATTCGCCTGTGTATTGATCCGAAACCACTCAACGAGGCATTAATGCGGAACCATTACCCAACACCTACTATTGAGGATATTTTACCTGACTTGCATCAAGCTCGTATTTTCTCCATTGTTGACGCAAAAGATGGGTTTTGGCACATTGAGCTCGACAGTGAGAGCAGCTATCTAACTACATTTGCTACACCATGGGGCAAATATCGCTGGTTGAGGATGCCATTTGGAATCTCGGTAGCACCTGAGGAGTTCCAAAGGAGAATGGACGACGCCTTAAGTGGTATTCCAGGCATCAGACCTATACATGATGATGTGCTAATTTATGGCTGTGGTGAGACAGACGAAGAAGCTGAAAGGGATCATGATGTGAAATTTCGAGCTCTAATGCAGAGATGCATAGAGAAAAACATAAGGCTTAACCAAAGTAAGATGAAACTTAAGCTCACATCAGTTACTTATCTGGGATATGTGATCAGCAAGGATGGGTTAAGTGTTGACCCACAGAAACTCAAGGCGATACATGAGATGCCTACCCCAGAAGACAAGGCAGGAATTCAGAGATTATTGGGAATGACAAATTTTGTGCAACGTTTTGCACCGCAGTTGTCCGAGATAACAAGTCCACTTCGAGATCTTCTGAAAGCAGAGACTCACTTTGCATGGGATCCGGATATCCATGGACAAGCATTTGACAAGGTCAAGGACACATTATCTCGTGCACCTGTTCTCAAATTTTTTGATGCCAAGAAGAAACGGACTTTGCAGTGTGATGCCTCTTCTACTGGACTAGGCGCATGCCTTATGCAAGAAAATCATCCTATCGCATATGCTTCACGTTCGCTGACAGCCACAGAACAAAATTATGCACAGATAGAAAAAGAGACTTTAGCCGCAGTGTTTGGCATGGAACATTTCGAGAATTACACATATGGACGGCATGTTAATATACAGTCTGACCATAAACCCCTGGAAATCATTGTACGTAAAAACCTTCACAGTGCACCCAAGCGTCTTCAGCGAATGCTATTAAGACTGCAGAAATTTGACTACAGCATTGAGTACAAGAAGGGCACAGAGATGTATTTTGCTGACACCTTAAGTAGGGCCTATCTTATCACTGATTCTGATTCAGTTGAGGAGAACATGCATGACATACACAGCATCAACCACCGCACCTACTTAGCAATATCTGAGGAACGATATTCACAGATAAAGGAAGCTACAGAAAGGGATGACTCTCTACAGTTATTGAAGAAGATCATACTTGAGGGATGGCCTGACTCGTCAAAGGAAGTCCACCCTGATATACAAGTGTATTTTCCATTTAGAGAGGAGTTAGTCGTTCAGAATGGTGTCATCTATAAGGCCGAGCGAGTTGTTGTACCTAAATCTATCACACATAGTATAGTACAGCGTATACATAACTCTCATATTGGTATCCAAGGATGTATCCGTCGTGCCCAGGACTATGTCTACTGGCCAAATATGTCGAAGGACATTGAATCGTACATTGGTCAATGTGCTGCATGTAATACTTACCAGGATGATCAACAGAAGGAACCTATGATCAGCCATGAGATTCCTGCTCGTCCGTGGCAAACCATAGGATGTGATCTTTTTGAATGTGAAGGCAAAGATTACCTCATACTCGCAGACTATTATTCAGATTACTTTGAGGTGGAAAGACTTCATAGTAAAACAGGAAGTTCGATCATTCGCATGATGAAATCGCAATTCGCACGTCATGGAATTCCAGATCGAGTAATATCAGACAATGGACCGCCATTTGGAAGCCGGGAGTTTACAGAGTTCAGTAAAAGCTACGAATTTGAGCACGTTACATCATCGCCCAGATATGCGCAATCTAATGGCAAGGCGGAGAACTCTGTAAAGATTGCCAAACGACTTATTCACAAGTGTATAATGGACGGAAAAGATCCATTCTTGGCGCTCCTGGATCTACGCAATACGCCTACTCAAGGAATAGGCTACTCACCTGCACAACGAATCTTTGGTAGACGCACTAAGACACTATTACCAGTAGCGGAACATCTACTCAGACCACGTTATGCTGACCACACCAGGGAAAAACTCTTTGAACGCAAGGAACGTCAGACATACTACTATAATCGAGGAGCTAAGGAACTAAAACCCTTATCAGAAGGAGATATTGTTCGCATCAGACCTACAGGAAATGAAAAAGGATGGAAAAAAGCATTTGTTCAGGAACAGAGTGATGTCAGATCGTACAAAGTTAGAACTGAGGATGGACGTGTATACAGACGCAATCGACGTCATCTCCGATTTAGTCGAGAACCATTCCGTCCTGATCATGAAAATTCAGAGCCTGAACCGCTGACTGACCAATCACAGCACAATGATGATCCAGTTCCTACAATAGGCAGCAGTGAACCAAGTCCAGCTCCACCAATATCAGAACTACGCAATACACTAGATTCCGCACCTGTTCAGTGTCCAAAGCAACCAGTCTCTTCAAGTCCGGTGAAGACACGCAGTGGTCGTGTAGTTGTAAAACCAATGCGTTATCGTGATGTGTAGGGCATAGGTAGATAGTGAAAGAGGTAATAATAACTCCTCGTCTACCTATTTCTAAGTTTAGCTTAGAACTTTATGTTAATCATTGCATTGTACTTGTTGGGTTAAGACTGTTTGTATGTTTAGTTTGCATAGGAAGACTGTGTTAAGGGCATAATAATCCCTAGTCTCCCTAACAGGGCAAATAGCCTTGCATTTGATTATTTGCTTGTCAGTCTTGATTGTCATAAATCAAATCTTAATTTCTCATTCTATGATGTAATGTTGCATGTTGAATGTATAACAATGTTTTTGTTTAAAGTTTAATAGTAATTTGATCATGGTCTTCAAACACTGAAATGGACAATAATTCAAAGACAGTAAAGTTTCGGTATTAGCAGAAATCTGTAAACTTAACATTTTAAAGAAAGGGGGATGTAACAGTATTCTGTATTAATTAATGACTACTCCCTAATTATCACTATCATTGTACAATAACACCTCCCCTTGTCACGTGGTTAATAAAGTGGAAGCCATGCCAGAAAGCCATGCTTGTTTTTACTTCAACTTGTAGCATCTTCTATTGATTCAGTACTTCGTGAAACAATAAAGTCTGCCGAGAACCTGTTTTATATGCAATAACGCATGCCCCTGTGCTTAAAATTACGACATGTAATACTATAAATACTAATAAAACAAACGGGGCGGGGCACTTTGAGAGAGTCGAGAGAGGTCCTTGGGAGTTTTGGTATTGCATAAGTTAAAATTCTTCTTGAAATATCGCCCGGAAATGATAGTATAACACAAGGACATAATGTATAAATTTACAACCTTGAACTTTGACCATTTGACCTCAATATCAATAGGGGTCTTCCCTAGGCCACAGGGAGTTGTTATGTGAAATTTCATTGCAATAGCTCAAATGGTTCTAGAGATATCGTGTGGAAACGAAAGTGTTATAACAGACAGAATTTGCTTATTTATGACCTTGACCTTTGACCTTTTGACCTCAAAATCAATAGGGATCTTCTTTAGTCCATAGGGAGTAGCTATGCTAAATTTGATTTCAAAAGCTCAATGGGTTCTCGAGATATCGTGTGGAAACGAAAGCGTTACAGACAGACAGAAAGACGGACGGACGGACGGACAAACCCAAATTAATATCCCCCACTTTTCAAGCGGGGGAAAAAATGACATAAATTTTGTCTAAACAAATATCATGTAGATACAATATCATGACATTCAAATTGAGCAATATGATTTAATATTCGAGTATCTGAATCATGTAGGTATACGTTCACATGAAAATTCAAATAAGAGTATTGTAAACAAAATGATACATGTATTAATAATAACAATACGAATAACAGAAAAGGGCCTTTTCCAAGAACTTTTGAATAATCTGTATTTCAAAGGCAAATGTGTATATGTAACTCCATATTATTATAACATTTAATCTGGTAAATTGACAATTTCCGTATGAATGTAAAATGATTTTTTCACTTTTTAGCTTTAAATAAAAATGCATACTTAAGTCATCAAATAGACAACACTAATATGCAATAATCACAATCACAAATCAAATGATTCCTGTTTATACAGTTCGGGTGTACTTGTGCTTCCATGGAGTAACGGGCGGAAAGTTTGGGTGAAGACGACACGGCGGATATATGGCTGGTTGGTTTTGAGGAGGAAATTGTATGGAAAACTTGTAGGATTTGGCGTCATCATATTGATATGCTGAACAGGATTGTTTAGTTGAAGTTATCGTACATGTTAGGGTTGGATGACAGTCTTGACATGTCAATGTTCCCCATTCCTTGTTTGACATTTTCATAAGGTGGTGCAGAAGAAGGACGGTTGAAGGGAACATTTCCATGTCCATGTCTGTTTTGTCTGTTTGGTATCTGTGGATACAGGTTCATGGCGGTTATCAGATGTTTGATCATTGTTATGAGACCAAGGTTGTTAAGGTGTACATGGTCATGAAACATGTTCTCTGATGGTCTGAATTGGTCGAAAACGGTCACATTAGGATAATTCATCCAGACGGATCGAATAGTACGATTTGCTTTCTTCACTATTTCTTCAGGTATATCCCTTTTGCTTGTAATGAGTGACACAAATATTTCCGTGTTTTCCCAAATATTGGCACACATGTTAAGAAGCCTGATAAACAAATCTTCTTTCACACCATCTTTTTGTAGGTCTCGAGTGCCAATATGAAAAAAAGAACTGATTGAATATTGAAATTGGGGCCATATTTTTCAATAAAGTTTGCACATGTGGTACATGTAGTCCCTCCTCTTATGAAACGTTTAATGCATGTAGCCCTTGGTGAAAATCACTGGGGCTGAATTCTGCAGATGACGGAGTCACACAAAATAAGAGTTTCAAAATCTGATTTTCTCTTGTAGTCGGATTTTTGTCGGTGTATTCTGTAGACTCATGCATAATGGTTCGATTTTTCTAGCCCCTAACTTCTGTCAACTGTGGATCTTTTCTGGATTCTTCTTCATTTTCAGATATTACACATGTTTCAGAGCTGAATTCTGTTTGATTACATACATTTTTGACAGCTACATCCTTTTATCTGTCTGATGCACCGGATATTGTGAAATACCATTTTCAAGATATTCAACAAATAGCTTGTTTATAAGAAACGACATTTTGGTAACGGTATTTTCATGTTCCATTTAGTTAACCTTCAACTCTTCCAAAAGAGTGACAGCTATGTTAGCTTTGATCTGTAGGACATCAATACCAGTTGCGCAATGTTTTAGTTTGGACTCAATAGTGGACAATGATTCAGTAATTTTGGATCTATGATTGTTTAACATCTAACTGATTTTTGAAGTTATGTTTTCAGACATGTTCATATTGAAAACATTTATGTCACTAATTTTTTTTTTCAAAAAGGGTTTTCATAGACATATCCAAAGTCCCTAGCGAGACATGAATTTCTCAAAATTTCTGATCCATGGATTTACTGTGTCGGGATACCCTTGTTGAGGAGAAAGGAATTTTTGTTGAATGTTTTGAACAGTTTTCTGTGCAGTTTTAGGGGTCTTTGTTGGTGTATGAGGCAACTGAATGTCTTCCATGCTTTAAGATTTCGCTAATTGAGGGGCATATGGTGTTTTCAGGTAAGTTTTTTTTCAGTTACGGTGTCATTTATTGACTCTCTATGAAGGTCATCGCATCTCTCCTCAGCGAATGAAAAAAATTGTCGCTGAATTTGGTATAATTTGCACATTGAATAACAACTGATACAGAAGTTGACCTTCACCGAGTTGTTTCTTTCATTATCTAAGTCAAATGTTACTTTGATAACATAACCGGATTTCTGAGATTGAACGTTAGCATTCGGTTTTCCAAAATAATAAATAATACTGTTTTTCCAAACATCAATTTGTGTTGTATTAAACGTAACGTTGTTGGTTTTCCCGTCAATTTGTTCATGCTTGGTAGGAGATTCCAAACATTCTGATCCTAATTCTTTCTCGATTTCATCGTGTTCATTACCAGTAACACAATCAGAGTACCTGTTCGGTAATTTGGACACACGTGTTGTCAGTATGTCTGCCATTTTTTTTTGAGAACATTTGTACTACCGAGAGAGAAAGGCTTCACAATAATCATCCCAATATTACAAAACACTCCAAATTCACGTCGTTTAGAATGCTAGCATTTTTATCAATCAATAGTAAAACTTCAGTATTTATAAATCAGAGTTAATTTTGCTCAAAATATCGAATTACCAAGAGCAGAAGCCTCTACCGGTACCGGAAATTAAATAAATTTCCATAAAACATAACTTATTTGGGAAAACAGAGAGATAACTCTGTAATTAAAAATAAAACTCACGTTTTTCACTGTAGAAATCAACGAAAAATATTTTAAAAAGTCCTTTATACAGGTAATATAGATTGTCATTTCACATATTTAAAATAAAGTTTTTTTGTGTTAGGGGGTATGTTTACTGACAAAAAAAATGACAAAAGTTTTAATTTTTCACCAATATCCAAGGGGTTAACAACTCAAACATTGTATTTTTAATATATATATGCTTAATATCATATGCTTTAAACATACAAAAAGAGGTGAGGAACATTTGTTAATATTCATAAATATATTAAAAATACGTTGATGGTGTAAAGCCCGGTTTCAACGGAAAATATATATCGTCTGCCCCCTTTTTGAAGGACGAGAATAAGTGATAATTAACTATTTTACACTTGTATTAAAATTATTAATCAATTATAATTGAACTGATCTTTTCATTCAACAAAGATGTTATGGCCAAATTGTCATTAATATTGAATTAAATAAGTGTAAAATATAGGCGGGAATCAAGAGTTAGCGTACGTAGTTCTTTTGTGGGTAAAAATCCACTAAGACCTGTCGTGGCAGGGACCCTCAGATTTTTTTTTCAGAGCCAAGAACATAGCAAAGGAACGCAGTTCGCAGTTCAAAAAAAGCCATAGCGAATTTGATAGTCACTTTTGCGTACTCTATTAGTGATTTTTTAAATACATTGTTTAAACAAACTTTTGTCATACAATGTTAGTTTATACATGCCTTGTAGCAAATTACACAAAAATATTTATTTAATTATTGATATTTCCCTCATATGATAGATATAAAAATCGTTCAGTTTATATGGAGAATATAGTAAATACTAAGGTGTCTCCCT